TCTATCTATCTATCTATCTATCTATCTATCTATCAAAACGTGCAGATAATATTTATATTTATTTATGCAGATGATATTTTGTTGTGGAGCAAAAATGAATGAATGAATGAATAATAAAAAAAAATCTAAAGTTCATTTTGCATCTTGGTTTCTTCCTGTAGCAAGGCATTGTATTTAGAGTAATTTTTTCTTTTCTTTTCTTTTCGTTATATACCTCTATTCAAGCTTGGCCTCATCTAAACGTCCAAGAAAAATAGAAAATAATTTCTATAGGTAGACTCATTTTGGGACACAATATATGAAGATTTGTCTCACATTCTCAAGTTCCTGATTAACTTATAATGTAGTTTTCTTTTGATTTTAGGGCGAAATTTGACCTGGAAATGTTTTTCACCCATCGGCCCTGCTTTAAGTATCACCTCGCCCAAACTATGCGAAACAGCTTTATTTGCCAGTTGATTTTCTATTTTTATTGTTGGTCAAGGATTCTCCTTTGATTCCCTAATGTTCAATGCTTAACTTCTACATCAGACAAGGGACTGTTTGCTCGTTTCGTCCTCCTGGACTTGAAACGCAGGCTGTTTTGATCAGTCTCTGCGTGGCGTGGGCCTCCCGCACCCTTCCTTTACACGTCTCCCAAACTGATCACCAATACATAATTAGCTCTTTTAAATAAGACCTAAGACTGGAGAGGAAGAAAAAGTTAAAAGAAGTATAAATATACAACTCAGCAGTTCGAGCTGTTTGGCAAGGATTTGGTTTAGGGTCAAATTGCCTCACAAGTGCCTCTGGAAGCATTTCATCTCTTGCTCCGGCATGAGGGCGCGCTTCTGAAAAGACGTCAATTTTATGGATGTTTGCACGCTTTTCCGAGCAAGTAAACGCAACTCTTTTTCATCTGTTCTCATGGTTTTAATTGAGATGGGGTTGGGAGCGAACACATGCTGATTATAGGAAGCAAGCAAAAAATATTTACCAGTTCCAAGCAAGTGCTGGATTAAACCCATGAGACGTAAATGCTGATGCTCATTTAAAAGTCAGAGGAGAACTCGGGGCTCAGAGTTGCCAGAGGGAGTCTCGTCTGCTCAGACCTACTGCTGGGTACAATTAGACTATACATTACACCTGCAGGAGAGATGTCACAGGTCTCTCACCGGCTCTATAACACTCACATAGGAGCGTGCAGACCAATACATGGATTTTCTCAGCCAGCGGAGCAATCGGATTGGCTATGGATGCTGCTGTTTTCTAGCTCATGCATGTCTTTCTGGAAATTCTCTGCTGCTGCAGCCTTGACTTCTGAATATATGGAGGTTTTGGATTTGTCTTTATGGACTTTTTTGAGAGAGTGTAGAGAGTGGAAAGTAGAGGGGGAACCCTGTGAGTGCAAAGCTCTTTGTGTTATATTGATACTACCTAGTCCACAGCTCTAATGAATACGCTATATATAGAGCTACCCATGCATAACTTTAAAGACAGACCGGTTGTGAGCTACAAGGTCAATAAGGGATTGCTATATGTTTTTATTGAAGCCATCAGTCTGCATTATTTCAACTTGTTGTTGAAATGATAATGAGCACGTTTACATGCACACCAGTAAGCTCATAACTCACAAATATCAGCTTATTAAAATAACCAGTTTTCCCCGTTTACATGCATATCAGTTAACCTGACAATGCAAGTAAGCTGCGTTTACATGACTTCATTAATAAATCAGGTTATTTCCCTAGTGACGTCAAAATATAATTATTTGGGTATCTAACTCCGAGTATTCCATACATGTGTCAGTTGTGATGTTAAATTAAGCTTGCAACTTGTCAACTTGCAACATGTCGGGGAACTTACAGCTCATATATTCTCCTCTCATGCAGTTATAAACGCAGCATTGTAACTGAACCACTTCTACTTCTGCTGCATGAGATGAGAACACATTTTTATCATTTTCTGAGTCATGAAAAATTCTGCTTTTGTGATATATTTCCTTCTTTCTTTACTGCAAGACGTTTGCTCGGTCTAGATGCGCTTAAATCTGCACTAACAATGCGTTCCTGTCACGTATCACACATGCGCACTTCAATAAGCCAACATAAAGCGGGTTATTGCGTTTACATGCCGTACGAAATCGGAGTAACTACCTGTTGCAACCGGTTTATGCTTAAGCCGTTTATGACCTTACTCCGATAAAATAAAACGGGTTACCACGTTTACATGACCAAGTGCGTTTTCAGCTTATTAAGCATAATCGGCTTAAGAACGTGCATGAAAATGTGCTCAATGTTTAACAGTAGAATTTGTGGGTGAAAGCTACATTTCAAATTTAAGTTTGTAATGTTGTGATTCACCTTGTAGCTGGTTGATTTGGTTCAAGGCCTCTAATGCCTACCTGTTGCAACCGGTTTATGCTTAAGCCGTTTATGCCTTACTCTTTTTACCTTACTCCGATAAAATAAAACGGGTTACCACGTTTACATGACCAAGTGCGTTTTCAGCTTATTAAGCATAATCGGCTTAAGAACGTGCATGAAAATGTGCTCAATGTTTAACAGTAGAATTTGTGGGTGAAAGCTACATTTCAAATTTAAGTTTGTAATGTTGTGATTCACCTTGTAGCTGGTTGATTTGGTTCAAGGCCTCTAATGCTTTGATGAACATTTCACACTATTACTATTACAACTATTGCTAGCACTGTTTCTGTGAAAAGCGTAAACACTGTTGTACTATGAAAACATTGATATGTTTATTTGAGCATTGGCTCGAACCAATGGGGTGAGTTTGAAGGCGGGGCTAATAGTTGATTTGACCAATGACAGTTGGAGTGGAGGTGTAATGGAAGGAAACCTGTTAAAGGAATCCTAATTTTTATAAGTCGAAGCAGTGATAGTGGTGCAAATGTGACACGCTTCACGGTGTGCTAAATGGTAATTCAATAAAAACAAAACAATATTTGCATTGGTTTTGTTTAGTATATACTGTAGTTTTAAACAATTATTCCCTTGTGGATTAAGAAGTACACTTTAGCTCACTTTAAAAAAAAGTTATATTACTTTTAGAAAATTAGAATATTTTTTTGACATTTAACTGCATTTTAATTGGAATTAAATGAAAATGTACTGTAGTTTAAATTTATATTAAATGCAAATAGCTGAACTTTAAAGCACTTTTATTGACCCAATTAAGAAGGACTTTTTTATATGTAATTTCATAATTACTTCTATTGTCCTTGAAATATGGTTAAAGTGTACAGCTGAATGTACTTATGGATATTTACAGTAAACTAAAATATACTTTAATGTCATTTCTATTGATACTTGTGTGTCACATATTTAAATATATTTGTAACTACACATTTGCGAATTACGATGAAGTAGCAATTAAGCACATTTAAAATATATTAACTTTAAATGTAATATGGAATAACACACTACAGTTAAAATTACAATCAGGTACTCTACAGTACATGTGGTGTAGCCTAGTCAGAATTAGTGTACTTTATTAAAGCACAACAACAGATTATTAAAACAATGATTTTAAATGTTTCATATGACATTACAAAGTGCACTTAAGTGTCTTAAGAAGCATACACTAAAGTAGCCTTTTGTTTAATTAATATTATATTATCTGCAAATACATTTTCTAAAAAATATACTTTTAAGTTCTGAAGTACACTACAAGTGCACATTCAATAGAATTAAGCACACTTCTTTTTCACAAGGGTTAGTTCTAACTATATTAATAATTATTTTTTAGAGGAATAGTTCAGTTGAATCAGCATCGGAACCATCAAGTTCCTTATCATACCCATTTCTAAGGATAAAACGTAAAACAAAACTGAGTAATGTTACATAGCACAGCCCAATTTGACATCCTACTGAACAGAATACTCACATTACACAATTTGCCATTCTACTTTGTATTTATGGCCTTTCTTAAACATCAAACATTCCCATTTCTATCTGTCCTTTGCAAAATGAAGTGTACCTACCAGCAGACACATTAATAAATGGAAATTAATAACGGTAACTGGAGATGAATAGGGAATGTGTGATTTCAACTGACATTTATTGCCACTTGGCAGTCGTACCATTAGCAAATTAGGTTCATTCGAGAGCCAATATAACTCATCCTGAAAGGAAGGGCTTAATAAATATCACTGGGGTGAAGTCAGACATCTATATGATCATCTCTTTAACCTCGGGGTCAAGGTTTGATTGGTTAGCATGGTCTGGTTAGTTTTTGCTAGTAAATGCTGCAACAAAAAGTGTTATTTTCAGTTTATGACTATTCAAAAGTAGTTTTTGCATGTTGCTAATATATCTTTATGCTAACAGATCACTTTCTCCAGATCTTCTTGCTACCTGTTTCATTTGTAGAGCTTCTACACTAGTGAATATATTTATTTTGTGTGTCTTTTTGTCTTGTTAATGTGGCGAAATGAATCTGGGGCAATGGAAAGGCATGGAGAGCTGTGAGCTTGACTTTCAAAAGTCGTCCATCCATAAAGGCCCCTCCTGTTGAGACAAATCCCAGGTCTTTGTTTTTAGTACAACGAATGTGTACCATCCAAATGATTTCTCTCAAAGATTGCTGTTGGGCCCATTAAAACGCGATGCTACAAATCCGTCTCTGTCCCAAGCGCTCTGAATCTTCCTTTCCAATTTTAGCTTGACAAATGTTTTCTGCATTAGAAGTGGACCCTTAATTGCGTGTTGTTCTCTTGCTTTTACTTCCTGCTTTGGAGAACCAACTTATCATTTCTGGCTCCATCTCACTTTGGTGGCAAATACTGCAGCCACCAGCAGTTTCTGCTGTATACCCTCAACACACAAAACCACTGGTAAACTAGGCCAGAAAGAGTTTATTGAGTGCGTATGTGTGTTTTGATGCAGATTACGATGGATATTAACATAAACTTTCACAAATAAAATAAATTATGAGAATATAAAAAATAAACTAATGGATTTATTGCCCTCCAGAGGTTATGCTGACCCAGAAGTACTTACCATACACATACAGTGTAAACTCATCCCTGTTGGTGCCGAGGTTGTTGCTGGCCTCACAGCGATATGTGCCGTTGTCTGTTTTGTTCAGTGTGGTTATGATTAGATCTCTACCCTCCACAATCATTCGTTCAACATCAGGAAGCTCTCCTCCATCTTTTGTCCATAAAACTGGCTCAGGTCTGAAAACAATAGAGTAATTTAGCTTGAGGCCTCAGAAATACACAGGTCAAAAACTCTGAAAACACAAGAATTTCAAAACGCTTGTAATGTTGTAAAGGTTCACAAACATGTTATTTAATTTTTCTGTGTACATATATATTTAGTACAATTATTTTATTTTATTTTTACTGGGTCTTTTTAAGCTTTATTTTGCCTTCATACGTGCTACTGCAAGAAACTAAATAATTTAACAAAGGACACACACATTCCCAAAATGTAAGAAATCTGTTATTTTATTAAAATATTTTATTAAAATACTGAAATTGGGATGCAGTGCCAGAAAATGGGCTGCTGTGCTAGTTTATGTAGATTTATTTTTTATTTTTTTACTGTATATTTAATTGTTAGTTTTACTACATAAAAAATCTGTTCATTTTGTTGAACTCTGTCAAGCTATTTTGGACACAAGAACACACACAAGAACATAAATGCCCCCTATTCTACTTCCATTGTAAATATATGAAAACAATCTCAGTTCCTGTAATCCGTTTAGGGCATAGGTTTAGTAGTCTGGTGGTAGAAAAGATTTGTCTCTCATTTTGTTATCTTTCTGCTCAAGGAACTTTTTACGGTTTTGTCCTCTACCTCTGAAAGGTCGCTCTAAATGAGTTACAAATGTTTCTAGACGATTATATGACTCACTAAATCTCTCCCAAATATCACGATCTGATTTAGTATTATTGCTTTTTGTTCTCTGCATGCAGATAAGGGCCGCCTTGAGACGTGATGATTCTGCAAGTTCAACTTCATAAGACAAACCATATTCAAACAATGTTCACGTAGGTGATTAAAAGAAAGCTGCACTCACAGTGGGTTGCCTTTGGATACACATTCCATTCTGAAGTATTGTCCTTCCTGAGGTACTATTACTGAGCGCACAATCTCTACCCGAGGAGGATCTGGATTGACAAAACACAAGAAAACAAAACTCAAAACAAACAAAAATCACAAAGCAAAACAAAAACACAAAATAAAACAAAAACCACAAAGCAAAACAAAAGCACAAAACAAAACACAAAATAGAACAAAAACCACAAAGCAAAACAAAACACAAAATAAAGCAAAAAGCAAAACAAAAACACAAAACAACCAAAACATAGCAAAAAACAAAACAAAACACAAAATGTAAAAATGTATGAGGAAAAAGGATCTTCGTTGTAAATATTATATACATACAATCAAACATTATACTGTAAACTACTAACATTTTGTCACGTTACACCACTATTTCTTTAGACAAAAATAGCTTGTTAATAGAAACGTTGGACTATTTTGAAAACTTGTAAAAGAGCTACTGTTACACTACTGCTACACATTGCTAAACTGCAGTTACTGTACACACAACACTGTCTCTGCCGCTCTTTAAACTGGTGCTGTTTCAGCTGATCTGAGAGCAGTTTCCATCAAACTAAAGTCAGGAGGGAAACTGATCCAAAAATATGACTCACAGTGGACCTCCAGTACTTCTGTAACCTGGTGTGGCAAGGAGCCCAGAGCTAAGTGCTCCACGACACAGGTGTATGCTGCTCCATCATCTGTCCTGTCCACCTTGAGGTGTATGGTGCTCCTGACTGTGAATGACCTACCAATGGCATTTACTTCCTTCTGACCTGCCAGAACATAGTCACAAGGAAACCTATCAAGCTAATGTTACACATACAGTACTATGCAGGTGCTTCATTTAGTATATCATGCATTATGATTATTAGTTCTGTTGTACTCATGACTGTAATAGTAGATATACAGGCATGCATCAGACACTTAAAATTAAACATATACAACCTAAGCATGTTGGATAATAATTTCTGTCAGAGATTTCAGATGACTGCACTTAGAGTAAATAGCATAATACATTTAAGAAATACCACACAAGAAAGCTGCTGTACCAGTATGACTGCTTTTACACAGAATTTTGATAAACAACAATTTAATATTAAGTAACTTACATTTCAGACACAATATCAAGTTACTTTTTACTGTTTTTTTTCTGCCAATCAAAATAGATCCAAATTAAATCAAAGCAAACGACATGTCTACAACAGCGATTAATTCCTGAATGAATGTATATTTTTGAACTAATCAGTTGAGTTAATGATTCAACAGCTCAATCAAAGACACTCATTCCGCTCCTAAATAAGTTTCTTGAACTAATCGGTTGAGTGAATAATTCAATAACTTACTTCTCATCAGTCTTCTTAGGATGAATTGCTTGCTGTATTACACATTTATAAGTGACATTGGATAAAAGTCTCAACTAAATAAATAACTGAAAATTTCGCTCACTCCTAAACACAATCACTTGTTTGTTCCTGAATGAAGTGAGTGTTTTGAATGAATGACTCAATTGACTCACTCATACAGAGTCACATTGCTGCCACCTACTGGTGTAACAGAATACCATTAATACAGAGACTGACAGGAGCATGCAAACATACATGGACACAGAGAGTGAAATCTGTACTTCCTGAAACGCTGCTGGCCAATCACATTTGAGGTGTTGTATAAGAATTTTTTATTTTCTAATTTACATTTTTATTTATATTTGATTCCCTCATACTATTTGTGATTATACAGGTATTATCCTTAAACGTTGTTTATACATCAACAGCAGCACAAACATTAAATTCTTCTGTTTGCAGAAAAGTTTTTGTTTGCAATCACACAGAAGAACAGCAGTCCACCAATAGAAAATATCCTAATACTATACAGCTCAAAACATTGTCACTTTCAGCCTGGGATTTATTGGAAAGCCCGTGGAAATGTGAAGAACAAAACATAATTTAGAGCTTGTAAGGAATCCTTATAACATCTGTGAGGGTAACAGCACAGAAAGTGATAGAGAATCAGTAACCAGAGACAACAGCAGTCAGGGCCATGTCTGCGTTCTGTGAAAGCCCTGGATCAACAGCATCATGAATGGATAAGTAAAACACCACCCTGGAGGATTGCCTCCAGCAAACATCTCGCTAAACATATACATGCATGACCTGCCCAGATAAAACACAGGAGTATCTCTCTTTCCCTTGAAGCACACACACAGTGAAATGTTCAAAGCATCTTTGTTGTTTTGTTGTCCTTGCCTTTTTTTGTCATCCAAATCTCATATTTGTTGTCTATTCAAAACATTGATGGAACACTGAAGAAAAACACTGAAATGGCAAACCCATTTTACTTCCATAATGTGCTCAACTGGTAGAGCATTGCATTGGGAACACAAAGGTTGCAGGTTCAATTCCCAGGAAACACTAGTATTAATAAAATGCATCCCCTGAATGTGCTGTAAGTCACTTTGGATTTAGCACCTACGTGTATTGTATTTCTGCGTGAAACAGCATGATGTAAGCTGAAAAGGAAAGTCATTTTAGAGGTGAAGCAAACTAGTACCTTTTGATACAAAAGATACGTGTTGGTTGGAATGTGCTTCTTGTATTCATTCACATAAGTCTAGAACTATGGAAGTCAATTATTTACATTTTTATAATAAGTTAATTAAATCATATGCTGATTAACTGACTGAACATATCAATATTAGCTGAAAAGCCAAAAAAGAAGTATAATTCAGATACATTACATATTGTGGCAGATGAAAACATCAAATAGATCAAAAGTGTCTAAACTTTAGAATGAATGTGTCAGTCTTATTTGGCATACTTTTGAATTTTGAATAAAATAATAATTAAATAACTATATATATATAATTATAATATATCATATATGTCATACTGTATTTCATACATTTGCATACAATGGTACTTACATGGCAGACTAGAAATAATACTACTACTAATAATAAAAAAAAACAATTAATTCTAATATGCTGATTTGGTGTTCAAGAAACATTTCTTCTTATTATTAAAGGGTTCATATGATGTTGCTAAAAATAACATTATTTTGTGTATTTGGTGTAATGAAATGTGTTTATGCAGTTTAAGGTTAAAAAAACATTATTTTCCACATACTGTACATTATTGTTTCTACTCTATGCCCCGCCTTTCTGAAACGCGTCGATTTTTACAAAGCTCATCGGTCTGAAAAAGCGAGGTGTGCTCTGATTGGCTAGCTATCCAGTGCGTCGTGATTGGCCGAATACCTCAAGCGTGTGACGGAAATGTTACGCCCCTCACTATACTGTGATGCCGTGTCCGGCTGGAGCAATGAAACAAAAAACATGAAAACCCATTACAAACGAGGCATTTGTTGCATCCAGTGGGGACATAATTACTGATTATAATGACTTATACTGTGTTTTTACCGCCACGTAAACATAAAACAATGTCTGCATTTGTGATCGGAGAAATTAAAACTACAAACACTACTCTACACTGCCCAAATCTCGCGTTTGAATCGTCAATGGGAAATCCTTTAAATGAAAACGTACTTACAGACTGTGAGTCAGAACTGCCGGCATTGTAGTCTACTCTTCCAGGATCAGTTCTGGAACAGTGTTGTAAATACAACTTAACCACTGATTTGTAGTTGTGTCCTCTTTTGGAAGACCAAACAAAGTAGTTTCACTTTCACAACGAAACACACGGCGGCCTAGCGTGAGCTGAGGCCGGGCTTGAGTGAGCAGAGGCGGCAGGCTTGAGAACGGCACGGCCGGCGGATTCGACGAAGGAGCGGCAACCACATGTGACGACCCCGGGATGGACTCCGCTTCATCCACGGTGAAAGCCGATCCGGCGATCCACAGCACGAAGTTGATGTATTCCCTCAGCGACCAGCACAGATCAGCTCTAGGCATGACAAAGCGGATATCGTCCTCTTTTGGAAGACCAAACAAAGTAGTTTCGCTTTCACAACGAAACACACAGCTCTTCACGTCATGGCGGCGGCGGCGGCAACAATACTACAGCGAGAATAAAAGTTACGCCTTCTTTCTTTGCGTGAACATTTGGGCGGCGTTATGCAAATCTTCCCACATAATGACATAGACATGTGGGGGCGTGTTAGAACAAGCCGTTTTAGGTAGGTGTGGTTAACTCTTAACTTTTATAAAGAATATCTCTTTAGATTTGAGACTTTAGTCTTTGCAACTTTACAGATCTTCTTTATGCACCAAGAGCTTGTAACACTTCAAAGAGAAAGGAAAAATTGAAATCGTATCATATGACCCCTTTAATGTTGAAAACAGCTATGCTGCATAATATTTTTTTGGATACAGTGGTACAGTTTTTACTGTCACTTTTGATCAATTTAACGCATTCTTGCTCAATACAAGTATTGAAAAGTAGTACTGTATTTTAAGTATGTATTCATAAGTATGAATTTCTAAATGAATAAATACATACACTCATACATAAAAGACCTCAAGCTTTTGAACGGTACTGTAAGCGGTACTGTATTTTACCATGTCCAAAACACTCATGGTAATATCATGGTACATTTTATTAATGGAGATCATAATATGCCATTATTAGCAACTATGTAAGAGTTGTGTTTTTGTATGAATTCGGGCCCCTGCTGGTACTCAGTATGATGGATGACTGGTATGTAATTTCATATACAGCATCTGGTGATAAATAAAAAAAAAGCGTTGATTCTAATTGCTGTGGAATATGGTGCAGTGTGATATATGGTCAGTGGTGTGAGTAACTAAGCAGCTGAAATCACATCTCTCTTTCGCTCTCTCTCTCAACACTAGCGTTAGTCAGTCAAACGCTCTCTTTGCATTGCCTGCAGCACTGCTGTGCTCCTCTAAATGCATGCTATCATTTGATGCTTCAGGAAGATTGATCACCTTTTTTTGAAGATGAACTAAAATGCAAAGAAATGTTGCCAAATCCCCATTTTTCAGTCCACCCCAACATAAAAAA